GACCTACTTACCACTGGCTATCGTGCAGGTCACGGGTTCAACTCCAGGGAACTGTGCAGATACTGTACACAGGTAAGCTGAGGTCAAGGGATCGACCCCTGGGATCTGCATCGGCTACTGCCAAAGGTGAAAACTGTTTCAGGATGTTGTTCGTAATGATTACTGGCGATGACGATGACGACAAGTGTGGCACGGCTAGATATCGTCAAGTGCCAGAATGGTGATGTTGATTGCCGCGGTGATGCTGCTGATGATGTTTATGAGGGCAAAGGATGATGGAGTGGTGAAAATAATAACAATAATAACAATAATAAGAATAATAACATTAATAATGATGATAATGATTGCGAGGAGAATGTAGGTGATGAGGACTGATGATCGTTGTGCGGATGACGGCCATGATGATGATGATGATGATGATGATGATGATGATGATGATGACGGTGAATGTGGGTGCAGCTGGATATCGGAAATGGCTATACAAGGGCGGGTCAGTATCTGCAGATGAAGGTTGGCGAGAGCAAACCGGCGTTCCTTGCAATTGCATCACCACCGTCGTATGCAGAAAGGTGAGAATGAATCTTTGTTTTGTGTTTGTGTAAAAATTCCTTGAGTGCACACTCCACAGTGAGCGTATAGTGTTGGCTGAATGGAGATACTTAGGCTGCACTGACACTCCGTTTGACTGAATGTGGACAGGATCGAGGTCGAATACGATAAACAAACCTACTGCGATCGATATGATATCGCTTGCGCACATTTTGGGGGATACCTACTTCTCTGGAGGAGGCGGAGGAGGATGGCGAGAGGGTGAGGGATGGAAGCAGATCATTAGAGTAGAAGAAAAGCGGGCAAAAGAGAGAACTAGCCTAACATGCATTGACTATAGGGAAAAAAAAAAAAAAGGGGAATGACTTAGGCTACCAGCCGGGCCGCCAGGGTCCTATTTTCCTGGGCGGCCCGGCCGTGCAAGGACCAGGAAAGCTCCCAGCCAAAAAAAAAAAAAAATCCAAAAAATCCGGAAAAAAACTATGTTATGCAGAAAAATAAACTGAACAACTTTTGCCTCAGGGTCACATCGAAATTCTTTACCAAAATATTTGACGATATATATATATAAAACTCCGACGAAACAGTTTGTCACAGCCCCTCGTTTGTTGTCCTCTTCTCTCTCTCTGCCTACGGTTTACCGTAGGCAGTTCTATTTGTGACGATATATATACGATATATATATCTAATAAATAGAATCATCAATATAAGAAATTCTTGAATAGTACCTATTAAAAATTTAAAGCAATATAAATAGAGAAAATATACATTGTCTATTGTATATTTATTAGAGATTGTATTTGTTATCTATTTTTTAATAGAAATCAATAGAAAGCATTATTAAATAGAATACAATATTGATAGAATCTATAAACTCGGACGAAACAGT